CCCTTGTGACGGACGGTGAAAAAACGTCACGTCACAATATATATATATACACACAATTAGTCAATTACTATACATGCTATTATTTCTTCATTAAGTTAGGTAAATACAATCAGAAATATTTATAATTATAATTTAAAGAGCACAATTATCAGGAGATTCTCATAATTTTGTTTGATTTGCATATTATTTACAACAAAGTATAATACATAATACATTTATAATTTTAATTTGTGCGTATGTAGAACAAGAAGTTCGACATTACTACGCACTACATCCTCTACATGTAGTGAACTCTCTAATAGTTGCTCAATTAATTAATTCATCTGTTCGTCAATCACCTGCTTCTGTTCATCAGTTATCTACTTCTGTTGGTCAATCACCTACTTCTGTTCGTCAATCATCTACTTCTATTTATCAATCATCTACTTTTGTCACTGCAACTCCATCATGTTCGACTTCAAGCACTCAGTTTTTTAGACTTTCTGATTGGTACGATGATTCTAATGCATCATTAGCCATTAGTATAGTATTATCTTCCCTTTTTTATAATCTTTAATATAAAATTTAAAATATTAGTCTTAAACTTTCTTTTGATATATACATTATTTTCTGATTTCAGGGAACTTGAATACTTTAACTGAAGGTACAATGCAGTCTGAATCAACTGAAAATCTCACTGAAGAGAAAGAAAATTGCGGATCTACTCAACAAACTTCCAAAAAACACGCGAAGCGAATATTGGTACCTCCTCTTGACAATTTCGCAAAAAAGAGGAAAGCCAGCAATGAACGCCTGGAAGAATTGCTTTGTAAATCATCACTAGCACTTGTGATATGGCAACAACATACAAAAATAAAACAACTGAAGAAAAAAAAGAATTATTCGATCCAAATGCAGTTGTGATATCACAAGCTTTAAAATCTGTGATAAAAGAAAATCTATTATCTTGTCTAATAGCTGTGTTGCAGCTAATTGAAAAATTTAAAGACTGAAACAATATATTTCTTTATTTTCTAAACTAATGGCTACGTTCAACAGAATACGCTACCTTGCATACAAATCGTGGCTATGAATGCATATGCTTTTAATTTGAATGTAAGGCCCATATTCATAATCAGATCTTATATTTAAACTCGTCTTAAATTCATTTTCAGATGCTCTACGGATCATTTTATTGGCTACACATTACAGAATCCGAAGATAAACTTATATATAATACCTGACTATATATAAGAATAAGACTATGAATACGGATCTGCATGCACCAATGATTCATAATTTTAATTATAGTAATAAAGTAGCTATTTCTGCTGGACGCAGTCAATGTTATGCTATAACTTCATCGTACAACATATTTTTTCTTTACATTGAGGTAGATGATTCTGAAACTTAAACAACATATATGACCTGTTAATGTGATATATAGAGAAGAACATTTTTTATTTTCATTGAAGTACTAATTCTATGATTTAAACCAATTATATGTTACTTATTGTTAGTAAAGTTATGTTATGGTATATATATAATAGTTTATGGTTTCTAGTATGTTTAACATTTTTTTTAAATTGTAAATTTTGAGATTATACATTATAAAAGTTTAATGAGTTATACATATGTGACTTGTCATAATAAAACATATTTTCTTTTCATTGAAATATTAATTCTATAATGTTAACCAGTTATGTTATTTATTGTTAATAATGTTATAACATGTTTTACATATTTGTCACATATAGTTTAAGTTTTCTATTTCTAAATGTATTTAACTAATATTTTTTAAGAAATTACATAAAATATATTTCAATATAAAATAGTGTGTACTACTCGCATATATAATAAATCCATATTAAGTAAATGGAAAGGCTTATTTAATATTTTTTTCTTAATGAAATACATATACAAAAGACTGAAAGAATAAATATAAAATTATATGATTACATTACTTGCAAGTCTTCTAATAATGAACAAAAGAAAATGATGAGTTACAATATGTAGGCACAATATAACTACACTATATAACTACATAAACACACAACAAACTAATATATAGTATATATATATATATATATATATATACATGACATAAGAAATTATTTCATGTTTCAGAACCTAACGATTGTTTCCTCTACTTTCAGTAGTTTCCTCTAATTCAGCTTTCTATTAAATTGATTCCTCAAGGATTTTCAGCATTTCTTTACATTATTGGCTAAAATATAGAAATATTGAGACAAACAATATTTCAAACATGCAATAATTTTGTGTAGAAAGAAAATAAAATATTTTAAAACTACCTTTGCGTCAAACAAGGAAAATTGACATGATTGGCACGATGAATCATTTGTGTTTGCCAGGATACTTGTCCTTCCTCAGAAATCATCCAATCAGCTAAGGCATTTCTTTGAGTTACAGCGTTTCTTGTTGCACTATTGCAACCTAAGCAGCCAATATTGTGGAAGTTAGAATTTGTGGTTTCATTTCGCCACATTCCTGGAATCACTGATCCATCGTGGTCTTCGTAGTCGACATAACTTGTAGGACAATAAATCTTCCTTTCATTTTCACAGTCCTCTCGCATTATTAAAAAATTATGTAGACATAGTGTAGCCAACACTATTTTTTCTACATTTTCTGGTTTCATGCAGATGCATGAACAAAGAACTCTCCATCTGTTAATAAATCTCAATAATAATCACTCTAAAAAAAATATTACATTGTTCGGATGAAAATGTCAATTACCTTGATGTAAGAATACCAAAGGCATTTTCTATTATTCTTCGAGCACGAGACAATCTGTAATTGAATATTCTTTCTCTGTCGCTTTTGATACCTTTCCTTGAATAAAAACGCATTAAATCATTTCGCAGAGGAAATGCCTCATCCCCTACAAAAAAATAAGGTATTTTCTCGTTTGTACTTGGCATTTCTTTAGATGGAGGAAGATTTAGAGATTTTGTTTCCAAGGCTGTTCCTAGCCCTGAGTTAGCAAAAATACTAGAGTCTGGAAGAGATTCTATAACAGTAAAAAATTTACAAAACAAATAAAACTTATCTCGAAACTTTTACTGTCATACAATTTCAGATCTGATTTTACGTACCGTAATCACCAACTGCCGCCCACGTGAAATAATAATTTGCATCGCAACATGCCATCAATACCACACTAAAATACTTTTTGTAGTTGAAGTATTCTGAATCACTGATAGGAAGACATTGAATACGAACATGTTTTCCATCGACTGAACCGACACAGTTAGGCAAATCCCATCGATTATAAAAATGTTCAGCTATTTCCATTTTTCAACTGATGGTGCTGCAAGGTATAAAGGGGATAGAGTTTTCCAAATACATTCACATGTCTCTTGTATGACCTGCGACCGCACTCACGAGCGTGGTGCCACTTCGTCACGCGTTCGCGAGTATTGCTCTCTACCTCTCTTTAGTCGGTACCTTCACGACAACATTAAAAAAGGCTCAACGCCACAACGGCTTTCTCAAATTTTACATACCCTAAACTTCACGTCAATAATTGGGCGCCAGGCACAAGAGAGCGTGCCACTCTTTCTTAAATCTTTTCGGTTCACATTCTCACTCGAAAATACTGAAGTGTAGAGACTCACGAATGCAGGCGGCTCTAATAATCGACTGCTCAGCCACAATAACGGCATAGGGGGTGGTTCGTGGTCGGAAACGGAGAATCTTTTGGAGAACGAGTAAGGCGAGAAAACAGTAGAGTAGGCAGAATTAATAACAGTAAAATAATAACAAATGTATTCTTTAAGTCAATTATACAGTTTCCGACGTATAGACAGACGGATTGATTCTGCGGCATGCAAACGCTCTGGCCTCCGCGATACGTTCTCGACACGCGGTATTAAGTAACCGCTTCTCTTCTCCGATGGACAAGCTTTCGATTCTAGCGTAATTCTACGCGACGCATGTATCGCGCTTATGGAGATCCATGGCGCAGTTACGAAAATCTTCGGAATGCATAAACACGCGATAACATCCTCCGAAGTCTAGGATCTACTACGACGACGATAGTACGTGACACGAAACGGCGACGCAACAGTACGATACAGAATTACGGCACAACAATACGATACAAAATTGTGACACGACGATACAGTACAGAATTAAGACACGACGATACGATACAAAATGACCTGGCTGTGGCCGCGGCGGGCGTGCAAAATAACTGCCTCGAAATTATAACGAAACCACGACGGTATCGGACGGAATGGCACAATCACGCGGTGCGCGCGTACAGCCGCGACGCAGTTACTCGCGACAGGATCCAACCCCACGGGATCCAACGACAATTTCGCGGATACGTGCGATCCCTCCAATTCAGAAATCGGCGGCTTTATAATATAATATGTTACGTTCGTCTCACCACAGAATCCTCTCGGTACTCGTTTTCTTTTCCCTGCAGTCCTGTGTCCTCTCGCACGTCTCGGTCGGCTCATGTCCACAATGCAAGTGTCGGGCCCGAGGTCCCTTCGGGGGCGCGCAGGCGACCGTAGGCCCACGTGATAAGCCTTATCGGCCCTGATTGGCCGCGGACCATCTCGTGAGCTTCCGCGAGTCCTCGCGACTTGCTATTGCGTCGCGCGCCCTAGATCCTTGATCTCTGGATTGCTTTTGCCGGCGTGTCGTCCGGATTCGATGGGTTCCTTTGCAGACAGGCTCGGCCTCCGGATTCAATGTCTCCTCTCGGCAGAGGCTTCCTTGCGGCACCGACAGTGGGGTCCTTTGCTCGTCCTGTGGCAGAGGGTGGCCATACCCTCACGCCGCCTTAGTGCCGCTCCCGCGGCATAATTGCCTTATAAAGAGTTCGGCTACAGGAAAACACATTTTGCTCAGAGCGTTAATTTGATAGTATGGAACGGTATCACTTGTGCGCTACCCCTCCTCTGGGTGGTCTCTGGTCTTCCATATATCTTCTATCCTCTTCTTGGCCGCCTCCTTGAAGTGGTGGAATGTGTCGCACATTAAGTTACCTACCGCAGCCACCGATACTAAAAATCTCAAATAAATCCACAAAAGGAAATAGTAACGTTACGCGAAACGCGACGACAAAATCTCCAAATTCTCGCTCGAAAATCGCAACAAGCGTCGGCACGCCCGCCCTCCGCGTCGGGAGGACACAGGACAAATTTGCCGCGCTACTTCGGCCAGGTCGAACGATCCTTGTGACGGACGGTGAAAAACGTCACGTCACAGACCTTATAAATGGTTGAAGCACCAATCCTATAGTATTTTGATAGATACTTAGGGCTGTTACCAGATGCCAAGTAGCTGTAACAAGAAAATAACAGAAAAATAATCCAGCTTCCTTGGATTCGGACATGGAGAGTTTAAAAGGGGTGGATGTGTGTATCGTGTCTAACGTGTTTGACTCAGTTTTATCCGAATTCTCGAATGCAGTTTTGTAAAGATTCTCTCCTTCGGATTTATCGTCTGTGGGCCCCGTATTCATTCCTGCCTTAAAAGACCACACTTTTCATCTCGGATAAGCCCCCAATTTTAAAGGTCTGTTACGTCCAACTCCTAATATATGAATGGATTGTTTGAGAGAAAGAAGGAATGAGAAGGAGTATGGAAGGACGTTAGAGAAGACGCTATGTCTCGCATGCATCCGAGTGGAAGGGGATGGAGCGAATCGAACGTACTTAGGTGACTCCAAAATATGGGTCAACGTCCCGATAAGACGCTATGACTCCGATTTCAAGAATCGTAGGTCCTATTATAGGTCAAGGAACTGAATCCCTTTTACCCGGGAAAGGACCGTGTGCGAATCTTTATTAGCAGGCCCGATATACGAAGAAATAATAAAAGAAATTAACACCAAAATATTCTACCTAAACATGTAATTATTTTTATTGATTAATGATTCCACTAGCGCCGAGTAACAATTTGATTATTATAGGTATTATAATTATTTTTATTGTGGTCCATATTATAATAATAAATTAATTTTTAGGTTCTCATTAACAATCTTATTTTTTCTTTAAACTAAATTACTTAACATTTAGATATAATGTTTCTTAAGAAGTAAAAGGTATGTAAACATTGCATTCTATATGTTTGTATATATTCGCGAACATTAATGCGGATCTGGATGATAAATACAAAAAAATGGTGAAATTAGGTGAGTGAATGTGTGAGAATTTTCAGCAAAGGGAAACCACAGGGCGGATGCAAATTAAATAAAGGTGATTACTGGATTTCATTAATAGTACAAGAAGAAGGGAAGAAATTTAGGAAGAAACGTACCGGGACTAAGAAAGGATGGGGAGAGTGGGGAAAGAAAACAGGGATATGAGCGTTTGGAGGTTGTCCGGTTATGGCGTTTCGGACTTCGTCGGGATCCGCGTTTTCGAAGGTTGTAGTAAAGGCGTCTGGGGGAAGAGGATCGGTGGAAATTTGGAACTGCGAAAAAAGAGAATTTAAGGATCGGTGATAGCCGTGGTGGTAATAATAATGAGGACGAGGTAAGGGAATTTCGGCTATGAACTCCACGCTCGACGTGGAGTCAGCGGGAGAGGAAGAACGGGAAAGGGAGGGTGTCGGGAAAAATTCGTTGAGTTAAGAGAGATGAGATGGATTCTGCGTCAGAGGAAGGAGAACGGGAAGGAGATGAAAGGGGGAGTACCATGAGCGGAGGTGAAGAAGCAGGTTGAGATAAAGGAACTGGAGGTGAACAAGGGTGGTGACTTGGAGAGTGAGGGATGCTAGGGGAAGAAGGGTCTGGCACTGGGACTAGACTATTACTATGATTATCACTATTATTTATGTTATCGTTGTTATTTAAGGTAGTTAAAAATTCGTGATAGGCTTCGTCTAGAAGCCGACGGGCCTCCCTAATCTGCTGTCTCCGTTGGCATTTAGCCGCGCGGGAAACCCAGGAGCGAAATGGCCGGTCGCCCACTACAAGATTTGAATTGATAAAAATAATAGGTTTTATACTTGACTCTGCATTAAACAAAAAGTGAGGATTCGGCAAATAATGAAAGGGTGGGGTAGAAAGAAAAAAAAGGGAAAAAAATTTAGTGACTCACTTGTTTTGATGAAGCCCGTGGGATTTATTGATGTCGTTGGTATTCGAGACCGGCTCAGAAAATGCGAAGAAGTAGCACGTTTCACTTGACTCTGCTGCCACAACTCTACTATTTCAACTCTACCTTAAAATTTCAACTGGTTCAACTCTACTGTTACTGCTTTAAAATTTGAACTCAATTCTACTGCTACTGCTACTGCCAATTTTCAACTCTACTCGACTGCTGCTCCGCTCACGAGATCGCGGTTTATATAGGACTATCTTTGGGGATGAATCCTTATAGGATGTAATAGCCTGACCGATTAAGATTTTGATTGATGGGATTTGCTCCCTGGAGGGTACTGGCGTTCTCTTTTATTTAAAATTTTAAGATCACCGAGAGCTTATTGGTGGAATTGACTTTAGTCATCCGCCCCGTTTCTTGCATCGGATTGATCAGTTTTGTGTGATGTCGCCAAGGATAGGAGTGCGTGGCTAGTGTAAACTTTGATTGTCTCGTGTGAAACTTATCGCTAGATTCGCGGTCTCTTCTTAGAACTATATTAAGAAAGATCGTCATCAGTTACGAACCTACGGTATTGGATGACGATAAACAGATTCCTCTTCAGTCTCAAAAGTTAGTAATCTATGATTTCTAAACTTCCGTAGCAACTTGATATCTAGTCTTTGTTCAATTAGCATTGGTCACCGGTGTTGCGTTTTATCTCCAAGGGTATGGAGTTACTACTAGGAATTGATTCAATTATTTATTCGTCTATTGAAAGAGGAATCTATTGCGATATTTTGTTTTGAACGGACCGTGATCTCTATGTCTGAAATTTCATCGCCTCCAACTCTCGTGGTTGATATTTAGATGCGTGGTGAAAAATAAAGGAGTAGATTACTCTTTTATTATTCTCTCCATAAACAGTCCGAGACTGTTATTAACTACTTATATTTCATAAATAACATCCGAGTGACCACGATGGATATTCCACGAAAGAAAAAAATCGTGGAGTCTATAGGACGTAACATATAAAGTGTAGTAAAAAGAAATCCATTATTTTGCATGAAATTGAAGGCTTTATTTAGTATAGTTAGAATGATCCGA